GATATTGTTCTTAAGCATAAAGGCAGGATCAATTTTGTAAATCAATCAAACTAACCCATCCCATTTAACCCTGTTACCTCAACCAGGTGAGAACAGTTATTTGTGGAACTAATGCATCATAAACTTTAGACTAAGTGTGGGAAAAGTCCTTGATTAACTGGAGTAATGTTGTACAGGAGATGTGTTCAGATTGGCTGAGAAAAACTTGGTCACACCCTATGGGTAATCTATTTAAAAACTGAGCTAGTTCAGTCCCAAGGGCCTGGCAGTAGAGAGGAGAGACTCTGACTAAACCCCTGAGAAGAAATTTATTTTCAGGTCAAAGGGAGGAAAAGTATAGCCCTGGGCCTCACTCTCTAGCTTCTCCCCATCACTCCTTGATTGGAGGAGGACCTTGTGAGTTTTGAAGGGTCTACAGAATTTTGGATTTCCCATCTTACCATCAGCATCTTAATAGCATCCTCAGAACAGCTGATGGTAGTATCTGTATCAGGAGCCAAGGATGAATTAGATGAGGTGAGAAAAGCAGATTCAAGGCTCTACAAAAAACCTAGCAGAAACATGACACCATACCTAAGGGAAGCATATTGAGGACTCTAATAAAAAGGACTTGGAAACTCTATAGTGCTCCTTTGACTACTGCACTTTCTAAGTCTGAGCCCCCTGCACTCTGTATGCACTTTGTCATGGTCTTAGGTGAGGGGGAGGAAGATGTTCTGTATCAACTATATTACAATATATCCCTTCCTAAAAACTCATTACATCTTGCTAATTGATATCAACGGATAATTATGGAAGAAAGTTAGGGGCTTGTGAGCTATAGCATTGGAAAAGCAACTCAGCTAATAAACATTTATTAAGCATTTACTATGTGCCCGGTACTGTGCTAAGCACTGGGGATACAAAAAAAGGCAACAGGCAGTCCCTGACTTTAAGGAGCTCACAATCTAATGGGGGGAGACAACAAGCAAACAAACATGTATAAACAATCCATATACAAGATAAATTGGAAATAGTTGAGAGAAGGTACTAGAATTAAGAGGGGTTGGGGAAGGCTTCCTGTAGAAGATGGGATTTTACCTGGGACTTAAAGGAAGACAGAAGGCCAAGATGAGGACAAAGAGCATTCCTGACATTGGGGACAGCCAGAGAGAGAACGCCCAGAGCTGAGAGATGGAGTGTGTTTGTGGAGTGGCAAGGAGGCAGAGTACAAGGTGGGGAATAAGGTGAAAGACTGGAAAGGTAGGAGGGGGCTGGTTAAGAAGGGTTTTTGAACACCAAACAGAGTATTTTTTATTTGATTCTGAAGGCAATAGGAAGCCCTTGGAGTTTTTGAGTATGTGTGGGTAGGTAGGGGTCAGAGGTGCACTTGAGGCCAATCATATTGGTGGCTGAATGGAGAATGGACTGGAGTAGGGAGATTGAGGCATGCAGACCCACCAGCCCACTATACATATCAAGGCTTATTGACTGACAATCCCCAACATCTAGGGGTTAACTCTACCTGAGGGGATGCATTAGTAGCTGTCCTCTGGGCACCCATCCTGCCAGTGTAAATGGGGTCAGGAGGATAAGTCCAAGCTCACTTGGGATATATGACTGAGTTTACACAGGAAGTAAGCATCAGAAGTAGGATTTGAACGCAGGTCCTCTAACTTTAGAATCTAGGTACCATTGTCAAGGAGGTAAAGTGTAGTGCAAGAGGGCAGAAGAATCGAACCATCGAAAATGTCCTTATTGTCATGCTGGTAAGCACAGGTCTCTAACTTTAGTGTTTGGTTGATGGGGGAAGGCAGAAGCAAATAGCTAGGCCTATGCTAGGTCCTCCAGAACCTTGCTCTCTCTCTCTCTCTAACCTACTTCTTACCCAGCTATGAATAATAGCTTTCAAATACAGCACAGCTTCTCTTCCTGGGAGCCTTGCAGCTCTGTTACTCCTAACCCCTGCTGTCAGCTCAAACTCAAAGCCTGAGCATTGTGGTGTTCCAATTGGTCATCATTGCATCAGTCTTCCTCTTGAGTGATACTTATTTTCATTTTCCTCTCTGTGACTGTGTCTTATGAATCAGCTTTAACATGCCCTCCAGACCTGGAAGGGTGAGAGGGGATTTCAGTTTCCCACATTTTGGTTCCTTAATAGCTTTGCACAGACTCCTCCTTGCCCTCTCTGTTGAAACTGCCAATATATACTATAACTTACTGTGCAAGGGTGGGGAAAAAAACCAAAAACAACAACAGCAAACAATTAAATGGGTATCCATGACTATAAGGTCATGAGGGTTCTGGTCCAGGAGCTCTTTGTATCATTACCAAACCTAGTTTCTTACACCCAGAGAGGAGAATCATTGCCTAGCTTTCTGTCAATTTGTCTGTAATTCTGCATGTTTAAATTTCAGCTCTTCGGCCAGGACTGGGATACATGAGAGCACACATATCCCTCTTGTTACAAAACAGGTGTCACTAAGAAAATAAGAAGTCTTGGTTGTAGTTGAAAGGTTACTTTTAAAAAGGTGTCTTTTTTTTAAAAGAGTGTGGCAGTTCTAAAATGGTGTATCTGGCAGTGGTGATGGTGGAATCGTTTTTTTGACTATCAACCCCAAGTTCTTTTTCCTTTCAAGGTTGCAGTAGGGGACAGGGCAAAGGAGAAGAAAGGAAAGCCCATGTAGGGTAGTATTGTAAGTCTGAAGGATTATACAGGTCCCTGGAGGCTCTAGTGAGTCCATACAGCTTCTGTTAATGTAATATTAATATTCTGATATTGTGTTATTCTCAGTACTTGCATGGGGCCTGGGAGTTTTCAAATTTTGTTTTTAGAAGATACTTAGACACGAAACACATTCTGACATTTCCAGGGAAACTTTATTATTCTAGGAAAAGATTTATTAAAAGCATGTGACATGAACATGGTTCCTGTGAATTTAGCGTTTAAATAAATAGGCCATAAATTCCATATACAAATCTTTTTTTTTCTTTTAACAGCAAAATTAGCTTATAGCTTTTCTACCTTCCTCAGGGATTCATAAATAGGATAGGCTCTGGTTCAGAGTGGACAGTGAAGTAAATAGAGGTCTGGGCCTGAAGTCAAGAAGATTCATCTTTGTGAGTTCAAATCTGGCCTCAGATACTGACTACCTGTGTCACCCTGGGCAAGTCACTTCACCCTGTTTGCCTCAGTTCCTCTTCTGTAAAATGAGCTGGAGAAGAAAATGGCAAACCACTCCAGTAGCTTCGATAAGAAGACCCCAAATGGGGTCACAGAGTGGAGAAGACAGAATAACAACTGGTTCAGAGTCAGTGTGGTACAGTGGAAAGGCCAGAAATGGTGTTAGAGAGCCCAACTGCCTGTCCAGGGTTCAAATCTCTGTTCTTCTACTAATTATGTAAGACTAACGGGCAAATCATTTCACTTCCATTGTATTGTGAATACCTAATTGTAAATCACCTAAATTTTTTGCGAAGGTTTTTTTTTTCCATCTCAGACTAGTCTTGAGGATATGGATTAGATGAGAACACAGTTAGACGGATTCAGAACTGGTTGGCTAGGCAGATTCTGAGTACTTGTTTTGGTTCACTGTCAACATGGCAGGAAATCATCAGTGGAATTCCCCAGGGACCTATCTGTGCTTAGTCCTTTGCTGTTTAACATTTTTTTAAATCAATAATGAAGATAATAACTTTGCAGGTCCACTCCCACCTATGATCCATAGGGTCCAATCCTATTACACTTAGCCAAATCTCTTTAAGGGTGCTTCAAGAAGGGAGAGAAATAAAGTCACATTTTTCGAACCAAAAACTGAGACACATGGTCTGACAATAAGGATATTAAAAGTTCATTAAAAGTGTGATTTCATTTTTTGAAACTGAACCATGAAACATCCAAATGTAATAGGAGCCTTCTTTCCCACTTAGTACTTGAATTTGGGCAAGTTATTCCAAGTTTCTGCACCTGTTTCCTCATTTGTAAAATGAGAGGACTAGAGGAGGTGGCCTCTAAAGTGACCATCCTACTCTAAATGCATTACCTAGAGGCAGATACGTGAAGTGGACAGAGGAGTGAGGAAGAGGTTCAGACACTTACTAGCCGTGTGAACCTGGGAAAACCATTTAACCTGGCTACCTCAGTTTTCTCACTTATAAAATAGGGATAATAATTGCCACTACCTCCCAGAATAGTAGTAAGGATAAAATGAGATGATACCGGCAAAGTGTTATGCTGATGCTATGTGAAAGTTAGCTATTATGATGATGATGACAATGACTCTATGTAGGCCCACAGGGCACCTTATCAAACCTCTACATTTTCGAGCTTGGCCAAGGTTCAAGGTCAGCTGAGAGAAGGGGCTAGCCTGGGCAACGCTGCCTGCCTCTCCTTATTCCCCATTCTTTTCCCTTCCTGGGTGTTGTCTGAATTGGCTCGGAGGCTGCCCCTGCTTCCGGCTAAGATGGTTTACAGATCGCAGCCAGGATGGAGGGGAGGGCCAAGCCCACCGAGAGCACATGGGACCGCATCCTGGGCCCCCCGCGGGAGCCGAGCTCAGCCCCAGGGGGCCGGCCCGCCCGTGGGTGTCACTAGCGTGGTGCCTCGTGGCACGCTTGCTCCCTGCCTCTGCAGCCCTGCCCAGCATGGCTGTCCCTTGTGGGCTCCTGAAACCGGGGTGGGGGGGTTATGATCACATGCCGGGGCCAAGGGTCCGCATCTCCGCGCCCTTCCCCCACCCCCACCCCACCCCCGTCACCCAAGGCCACACCGCAAGCTCCGGCAGCCCAGCCAAGACAGCCCGGCCCGGGAAGAAGGCAAGGCTTGGCTCGGCGGGGCGGGGCTTAGGCAGCGAGGCTGTGCGGCGGCTCGGCGTGGCTCCGTTCCGGGAGCCGGCGCGATCCTCTCCGGCTTTCTGCGCTCGCCTCCTCCCCCACCCGGCTCGGCCCGGCCCGGCCTTTCCTCTCTGTGTCTCTCTCCCTCTCTCCCTCCCTCCACCGCCCACCCCTCCCCTCCCCTCCGCCCGAGCCGCCGCCTGGGGCCGATCCGCGCAGCTCCGAACATGGCTGAAGTCGGGGAGGACACGGGCGCCCGGGCCCTGCTGGCACTGCGCTCGGCGCCCTGCAGCCCGGTGCTGTGCGCCGCGGCCGCCGCGGCCGCCGCCTTCCCCGCGGCGCCGGCGCCTTCGCCGCTGCCTCAGCCCCAGCCACCTCCGCCGCCGCCGCCGCTGCCGCCGCCGCCGCCGCCGGCGTCCTCCGCTCCCCCGGCGGCGCCCCAACAGCCGGCGCCCCCGCCGCTGCCGCTGCCGCCGCCGCCGCCGCCTGCGGGCCTGGGGGGAGCCCCGGCCGGCGCGGCCGCTGGGGGAGCGGCGGCGGCGGCGGCGGCGGCGGCGGCAGCGGCCTCGGTGCGGCAGAGCCCTGGGCCGGCCCTGGCCCGGCTGGAGGGCCGCGAGTTCGAGTTCCTCATGCGGCAGCCCGCCGTCACCATCGGCCGCAACTCGTCGCAGGGCTCCGTGGACCTCAACATGGGGCACTCGAGCTTCATCTCCCGCCGCCACCTGCAGCTCAGCTTCCAGGAGCCGCACTTCTACCTGCGCTGCCTCGGCAAGAACGGCGTCTTCGTGGACGGGGCCTTCCAGCGCAGGGGCGCCCCGGCCCTGCAGCTCCCCAAGCAGTGAGTAGGAGCCGGCGCCTGGGGCGGCGCGGGAGGGGCCCGGGGACTGCCCCCTCCCCTCTGCCGGGCCGGGCGGGCGGGGGCTCCCACGCCCCCAGCATCCGTGGGAATCCCCCTGCCACACGCACGTTTGGGGGCGGGGAGGCCCAGGAGCAGCGGGGTAGGGGATGAGCCCGGCGTGGGGTGTGAAACGTGGCTGTTGACCTTCCTTTTCCTCCTTCCTCCCCCATACACACATATAGACACAGACACACACACACACACTCACTCACACTCACACTCTCTCTTTCACTCTCACACTGAGTGTCCCCCCCCCCACCCCCACGCGGAGGCTGCTTTAGGCAGGTGAGGCATCACCTCTCTTGGTTGGGAAGGTAATGTCAGTCTGGAAGGTGGGGGTGGGGGGCTGGGTAATGTCAGTCTCGGCCCCAGGGGGCCTGGAGGGAAATATGTCATGGTTTTTCCAGGAAAAGGAGCTGTCTATTGGATCCTGAGAGTTTCTGGTAGGGAAGGGTGCAGCTTCTTTCTGGAAAGACTGGGAGAGAGTTTCCTTCCCTTGGGAGAGTGTTTACTTGCCTGGGAGGTTGAATTGTGAGGAGGTGGAAGAGAGCGGTCCCTGTAGACGCTGTTACCTCTGGGGAATAGTGTCGAGTAAAAAGAGTGTGGTGCTACCTGTAGGGAGAGCTTTGGCCTGAGGGAGGGAAGAAAGCAGATGGGAGAAGCTGGAGCAGGGATATTGTTTTCACATCCTTGAGGAGGAAGGGGAGGTTAGAGACAGCTAGCATAGGAAGTGCTTGCTGTAACTCAATTTATGTACCTTTAAACTGGCTATAATAAAAATAATAGCGTTCTCCATACCTCAAAGGGATATTAGGTTTAATTAAACAGTAGTTACAAAGTGTTCATGAAAAACCTCATAGAGCAACAACAGTTATTAACCCTTCTGTCAGGAAGGAGGAAATAGCAGGTCTTGTAGGCCAAGGCATGTAAGAAATCTTTCAATTCAAATTCTGCCAAAAAAACAAACAGTTAATTGTGGTTGTCGGTTCATCTCTGGCTGGCAAAGAGAAGCAGTGATAAATTTTTCGGGAACAGACTGGTGTATTTTATGTGTTCCTTAGACTTTTTTTCCCTTTCTCCTTTGCCTTCTGCAGTAAGTTACCTTACCTTTTATTGTTTATAGATGAGTATTTAGTTATCATAGTTCCACTCCAGAAGCACGGTCCAAGAGATCTTTGCTTTCTTGCCAGCAAGATTGATCAACATAAAGTATTTTTAAGTCTTCACTTCCTTTGATGGCTTTTTTTCTCTTTTTAATAATTACTTATAACACCCCATTTTTTTTTCACCTGGTGTTTTTCTTGTGTTAAAGAGTCGTCTTTTGATTGTCTAATCTCTCTCTCTCTTTTTAATCTCTCTTTTTTTGCAAGTTCCCTTAGCCCAGGGTATTTCTGTTCTAATAGTCCCTAAAGCCTTAGGGTTTGTTGATGTAAACTTCTTCACTTTCTAGTTTCTTAGGCTATTTAACCTTAAACACTGCATTGATTTTAAGTGTCAGAAAGAGCTGCTACTGTCACCTCTCCTTATAGCTTCTAAGAGAACATACTTTTCTTTTCCTTAGGGCTTAGGGCAGAGTTCTAATGCCATAAAATTGAGAATTCTTGAAAAATAAAATAACCTTACTACATGCTTTATTTTTCCAGAATATCTTTTTTAGCTAAAACATATACCCTCACTGCAGACTATGAAGTTTATTCATGACATATAGTTTGCTTTTAATTTTTTTGTGAATTGTCTCCTCCAACAGCTGCCTATCTTCCCTTGCAATCCTGTTTGAGGCCTGTTTCTGTTAATACAGCTTTATGTAATTTGTGTTTTTTAAGTGCTGTTATTAACAATCTTGTTTTTTCAGGGTTTCTTACATTAGTCATGAAACACACATACTCCTGCTTGGAGGTGGCTTATACAGCTGACATTCCTTTAGCATTTTAAAGTTTGTAAATATCTTTACATTTATTATTATTTATTATTTATTTTATTTATTATTACACTTATCTTGTTGGAGCCTTACAAGAACTGTTTGAGTTAAGCACCACAGAGTGTTAGACATTTTAGAGGTGAGGAAACTGAGAGTTAGAGAGTTCAGATGACTTATTAAGTGATATATTTAGTGACTGGCAACACAGCATATGTTGGAGGTAGGATTTGAACCCAGGTCTTCCTGATTTCAAGTCTGATATTCTATCTACTGTGCCTCCTCTCTGTGCTGAATCTTAAATGAAACTTGAAGGTAAAATCCTCATCTGTTGTTTCTACAACTCAAAGAAAGGAGTTAGTGCTTGTGCTAGTGTGTTAGTGCTTCACTCACTGAATGAGCCAATCTTATCTGTTATTTTTAGAGGTTGATCTTCAGGTGTGTGATGCTTTGTAAACGTATGTAAAAATATGACTGCTACCTCCAAAGGCTTGCATTTTCATTTGATATCTCCTAAAGAAATATGGTAGTCATTGGTGGACTAAACATTTGACCATATACTTACTTGCTGTTACAGTTGTAAACTTTAATCCACTGTGCCAGTCTACTTCCATTTTTCTTCAGCAGCGGTAGTTCTGAGCAGTGTTCTTGGTGTCAGTAAAGGAAAATTTATAACAACAGTGAACAGACACATGAGGGAAAATATTAAGTAGATTACTTCTGTTACAAAAAAAGGAGGTTGTTTTGCTGGTGTAGTGCAGAAGCTATTGGAGCTGTTTATTTAGCAACTCAGTTTCATATCTTTTTATTTTAAAAACTTGGACCTCAGAAATAATGTTCAGAATAAATTATTGTAATCTTTCAGAGTTTTTTGAACTGAAAATCAGTACTGAAAGGATTCCAAAAAAAATTTTCAGGACAGAGCAAAGGTCTATGTTTAAATTTTCTAAACAAAGAAAAGGGGAATTTAGCATTTTTTTTAAGGCAGTAATGTTGAGTTTTCAGTGAGCAGTTCTGTCAGCGGTACTTGGACTCCTGAGTTACATTGCAGCAAATTGTCCAGATTCTTTTGTCTTACTGAATATTGTTTGCAGTACATGCGGCACCATTGCCTGGAGCTTGGAAATCTTTCTTTTCATTGTTATAGTAACTGCAATAATTGGATTTGACCACTATTCAGAAGTTACCAAATATGTGCAATCTCTACTAGGATCACTAAAGATAGAAGGAGTGTAATAATAGACTGTGTAAGCCAATATTGACTTGTTAATGTTTTTTAGTGTTGCTATAGTGTTATTTGATCAGTTCTCTAGGATTCCTTTAGCTCTATAGATACAGGTGAGATATTTACAACTTATAATGGAGAAAAAGTAACTGGTTCATTCTGGTTTCTTGAAATGGACCCACTAGCATGATGTAAAGAGAACTCATGTGGTGTTGTTTCCTTTATTTTTAATCACTAATGTGATTAAAAAGGAAGAGGTTGGACTAGGTCGCTTCTAGGGTACCTTCTAGCTCTGAACCATGTTTTGATAGATTCATATGATCTGATATTTTGATATTTTGATATCTTTTTAGTTTCTGTTCATGTTAGATTTCTTATATAAGAGAGACAGAAGAGTTTTGTGATAAATTGGTAATACAACTCAGGAACTTAACTTTTACTTTTGGGGGGGAGGGCCCTAGGCACTGGGATTAAGTGACTTGCCTAGGGTCACACAGCTACTAAGTGTCAAGTGTCTGAGGCTGGATTTGAACTGAGGTCCTCCTGACTACAGGTTAACTTTTACTTATATATAAAACCATACCTATGCTTGTGAACCTATCGTTCATTTTATCCTGTGCTGTACAGCTGAGTTTATTTACGTTACCCACCAGAAAGACACACTAATGGCAGATTCTTTGGATTTCAGTTTGTAGACAGATACAATAAAAAAAAACAATCATTTTGTATCCATCAGTGTACTTCACTATATGTAAGTGAACAGAATACAGTTTAACAGTTTAAAGGAACATTCAGGCACTGATTATTGCTTTAGATTAAAAGTCACTTGAAGACTTAGGAAATAAATAACCATTAACTGATCATCAAATTGAATGGATTTGGAGTTTGCTAGAAAATGTTTAGAATCCCAAAACTGATTTCTTATATACTTATTGTTTCACCATTCTGTTTTGTAGTTTATCTGAGGAAGTATATGTGTGTGTGTGTGTGTGTGTGTGTGTGTGTGTGTATGGGGGGGTATGTATACGGATGTCATATTCATGTATCAATATCTATATATCTATATCCATGTATTAGATTTCATGATATAGGCAAGTATTGTAAGGATTCAAAGAAGTGAAAACCATGGCTGACTTATTTGGAGGATTTAAGGAGGAGTATTAGCAAGCAGGAGTAGTAAGGTCTGATTAGATCGAAGAGGCAGTAGATTTTGTGAAAGATGAGGTTGTTATGTAAGGTATGTTGCTGGAATACCTTTGTGTATCAGTCAAGCTGAGAAATTTGAATTTGATAACATAAGCAATGAGGGAGTATGATATAGCACATTGAGTGATATGAAGACAGCATTAAATCTTGCAGTATTTGTTAGTAAGTATTGAAATGGGTAGAGATTAGAAGCAGGGATGATAGTTTAGAGATTGTTGTAGTAATCTAAGTATTGCAAATGGAAATGCTTTCCAGGGTTAAATTTTAGAGTTCCTTGTAAGGAAGAATTGATCAAACTTTGTGTCTTTAAGTATGTACAGGACAAAGGTGATGGGCTACAAATCCTATGATTCAATGTTATTATGATTATTATTGCTAATAATAATAATATAGCTAACATTTTTATAGCATTTTAAGGTTTATAAATCACTTTTAGGTTTGCAAAGTGAGTAGAGAAGAATCCCATTAGCTTAGTATCAAAGTCTTTTGAGAAGGTTGAGAAAGTGACTTAGAAATTGGTAGATGACAGCAATAAGAATGGGGAGAAGGTGGGGCAGCTCAGTGGCATAGTGGATAGAGCACTGGCACTGAAGT